GAATTCGAAAAGAGGAGAAGAAGAGGAAACGGATAAACGGACGAGCAAACGGACGGACGAGAGGGAAAGAGAGGAATCGAACGGGGATAGAAGAATAAGAACTAAAGGAAGAGAAAGAGAAAGAAAATACGAAAGGAAAGGAGAAGAACGAGAGTACACGAACGGACGGGAACGAAGTGGGAGAACGGAACGAAATATAGTAAAGGACGAGAATAATAGGGAACGAGAATAAGAATAATAAGAGACGGACAGCGACACGGACAGACAGAGATAAAGATTGCAAAGATGTCCGCGATACGGGTTGCTCCTACGGTTAGTGGGTTTTTTCTTTTCTTTTATCGCTTCTTTTTGATTTAGGGTCGGATGGGGTGAAGGGGGTGGAGGTTGTTTGATTCGGGTTTGGGTTTGGATCTCGTTTTGGGTAGAGTGATGGAGGTGAGGGGTGAGAATGAGAGGTGTGAGATTGAGAGGGGTGAGAATGAGAGGTTGTGTGATTATATGTAGTGAGAGTGTAGGTATGGGAGATACTGGTGTATGGTAGATAGATAGAGGGAATTGGTAGATTGGCAGATGAGAAAGTTCGAGCGCAGCGAGGTTTGGGGGTTTGGGGGCTTGCCCCCATGACTATAGAACAAAAAGCTAACATTCCCTCTCCAGAAAGCCGCTCGAGCCATGAGCCTCCTCCGCACAATCCAATACACCCACCCACCCTCCTGTCCCTGCCACAACAACCCCTCGCACCATCACCACCACCCCAGCTCCTCTCTCCTCTCTCAAACCAAACGGAATCTCCAGCGTAACTATGCCACGCCTATGGATCCCACGCGCGAAAAAGAATATGCGTTTGAGATGGCGGCTTCGTCGATACGGTTTGGACCGGGGGTGACGAGGGAGGTGGGTATGGATTTCAAGAATTTGGGGAGTAAGAGGGTGCTTGTTGTTACGGATGGGGTAGTGAAAGAGTTAGAAGCGATGAAGCAGGTTAGGGAGGGTCTTGGGAGGGAGGGAGTGGAGTTTGAGGTTTTTGAGGGGACCAGGGTGGAGCCGAAGGATACGAGGTGGGTTTGTTGGTTTTCTTTTAGGGAGAGGGAGGGTTTCTTTTTTCGACCATTGGACTTTGCACTCTTTGGTTCGTGTGGTTGAAGAGTAAGAGAAAATGCACAGCTTCAAGTGGAGCAAGCGTATTAATCTCAGAAACGTGATGAAATTCCTGCAAATTGCTGTATTCCAAATGAACACATTTTCTAACAGATGAATAGTATCAAAGAAGCAATCCAGTTCTCCAAGAACTATCAACCAGATGCTTTTCTAGCAGTCGGCGGTGGCTCAGTTATCGACACTGCCAAACTCATGAATTTGTACACCTGTTATCCAGATGCCGATTTCATGGATTTCGTAAATGCACCACTTGGTAAAGGTAGACCTATAGATAAAACTCTCTTACCTCTCATAGCCGTTCCCACCACCGCCGGAACCGGCTCCGAAACAACAGGTACCGCCATCTTCGATCTCGTCTCTCATAAAGCCAAAACAGGCATCGCTCATCGAAACCTCAAACCCCTCCTCGGTATATGCGATCCTCTCAATACACGCACGATGCCCTCTGCTGTACACGCTAGCTCAGGCTTAGATGTTCTCTGTCACAGTTTGGAAAGTTGGACCGCGATCCCCTATTATGAGAGGACGCCCAGACCTCAAAATCCAATCATGAGACCGGCGTACCAGGGGGCCAATCCGATTAGTGATATCTTTTCTCTGCAGGCGTTGAAGAGTACGGCGAAGTATTTGCCAAGAGCGACGAAAGATCCGGAGGATTATGAAGCGCAGAGTCAGATGTTGTTGGCGGCTACTTTGGCGGGAGTGGGATTTGGTAATGCGGGAGTGCATTTGTGTCATGGTATGTAGATTGGTTTCTTTTGCTTGGTTGGGGTTGGTAGTCGATGTTGTTGGTTTGGTGTATGGAATGCTATAAATTGCAGTCTAGAGGACAAGAGCTTTGAAGGTTGAAGTTGTTTCGATTATTGAGTTTCTTTGAAAGAATGGACTTGATGAGATGATGGAAGCATTTTCAAGACTTCAAGTTTGACGTATTTCGGCTCTGACTGCAGTCTGAAATTTCGGGTATACTATATGACTCTTAAGTTATATCAGCGACTACCCACACTACATCAACTAGCAGTATGCTATTCATCTTCCAAACCATATACTAACAGACCTAGGAATGTCCTACCCAATATCCGGTCAAAATCCCGGCTACACGCACCCCGGCTACGTAACCAAAACCCCCATCATTCCGCACGGCGTATCCGTTGCGGTTTCCGCCCCCGCCGTCTTCCGCTTCACCGGTGCATCGAACCCGGAGCGTCATCTGCAAGCAGCAGAATGCTTTGGTGTTGATATCTCGAATGTGAAGAAGGAAAGCGCGGGTGCGGTCTTGGCAGAAGCGTTGGAGAAGTTTCTAGAGGAGTTGGGGGATCAGCCGAGGGGTCTGAAGGATTTGGGGTTCAAGAGGGAACATATTGATGGGTTGATTGAGGGGACTTTGCCGCAGAAGAGAGTTTTGATGTTGGCGCCGAATTTGGCGGAGGAGGTGGGGGAGGAGAGGGAACAGTTGAGAGGGCTTTTTGAGGATGCTATGGGGGGTTGATTGATTGATTGATGGGTTAGTTTGGCTTGAGTTTGTTTTGTTAGTTTATTGGTTTGTGAAGCTTTTGTAAAGTGTTTTTTTTTCTTGAGAAGTTTTGTCCGTTTATGTATACATGTATGTATTGTACTGGACTCAAGTATGATTGTTCAACACAGTATAAAAATTATATCGTTCGTTATGTTACTATTACTGTTATCTGATTCTCTCTCTACAAAGGAATGGTCAATGAAACTCGGAGGTAGAGGTAGAGGTAGAATGACCTCTGACTTTCTGGTGATTGTCGTTGATTGTCTGTTGTGGTCTCTTGAATCTTGAATCTCGACCTCCTTGTTGCTCTAAAAGGGGTTGAGAATGAGTTAACCCTCTTATTCACTTTTTTACTTTTTCACTCTTGGGTTCGCACAATGGATATGGATATAGATATGGATATGGATGTTATGCTTATTTTTTATTTGTGAGGGTGGATAGGTAGGTTGGTAGGTGAATAGGTAGGTAGGGATTGAAAATTAGATGGATATTCACTCCTTCTTTCTTCTCTTTCTTCTCTCTTTTTTTTCTCTCTTTTGCCTTCTTTCTTCAGGAAAGGTTGGAAAGCTTGGAAAGGATTGATAATCTAGGTGCTGTATAGTATCTAGGTGTATCTAGGTAGGTAGTTGGGATGGTTGTTTGGTTGGTAGGTAGGTATGTCTATTTGCTTGCTTGCTTGATTGATTGAATTGGTTAATTGGTTCTCTAGGGAGGAATAGAATGTCAATTTGAATTGGTATTTGAATATGGATTTGGATATGGATATAAATAATTTTGTTATATTGTATTGAATTGAAACGTGAACTCTTGGTTGATTGGCTGTTTATTTGATGAATATTTGGGATTCTTTGTAAATCTTCAAAATAACAAGGAGATAATTCAACTGATCTTTTCATTCTTCAATTTTTTTTATATATCTTTTTGTGAACTTGAGAATTTCAATAAGAAAGGGTGCATACGGTTGAGTTCATACTTGTCGAATTCACTTATTTTGATTTGATTATAAAAACTTTTTTTTTTTTTTACATAACGCTGACTGGCTTCTAATAGTCGGCTCTTAGAAGCGGCTTCCTAGTTCCTAGTTGGGGAAAGCGGTTGTTCTCGGAAAGCGGTTGTTCCCAAAAAATTTGATAGGGAATTTTATTCAATTCTTAGAAAAAGAATATTAGATTTTATATTATTGAATTACTATAATTTTATTAAATTTAATAATATAATCTATTATATTTAGTTTTAATTTTATTTATTATAATAGAAATAATAAATAAATAATAAGAATTAATATTTTATTAATAATTATATAATTTATAAAGGTTGTAGTTGATATAATTCAATTATTATAATATTTTCGAAGTTTTTTGAGAACAACCGCTTTCCGGGAACAACCGCTTTCCCCGACTAGGAACTAGAAGGTTGCTTCTAAGAGCTGATTATTACTTCTTATCTTTAAATTTGGATTTGGATTTGAAAATTTGGATTCGACTTTATCCGAATTTTTGATAATAGGAAAACCTTTACTTTACTTCAATCTTTCTTTTTCTGCGAAGCTGAGAATGAGAAACTGAAGTTGAATTGGAACTTGAATTGGGTGGATACCTGATCTGATTTGATTCTATCCGACTTGACTTGATTTAATTCAACCCCTTGAATCTTTTCCACAAGTTCAACTTAATGTCAACTTCGACTTTATCCGACCTCTTGAGTTTTTAAGTTGTTTATACATACAATCAATCAATTACCTACTTACTGTCATTCGGACCAAACAACAACAATCGAATTTTCACATTATTTACCTACTACGTGGGTGTATTGTATGAAAGGAGCTTTTGAGTTTTTCTTTTGTGCAATCTGTGCAATTTCTGTTATTGAGGGATTTGTGGATTGGATTGATCTGATCTGATTTGAGAAAGCTCTAGAATAGGGGAATTGGAAGATCGAAAGACTGTGTGCAAAGAGGCTAAGACTGAGGATTGGATGAAAAGAGAGTTGAAGACGCAGATGAAAGGAGTCTGGTTTATTTGATAACTACTCATCTAGTAGTTGATTAGATTTAAGTTTGTGGAATTGGGAGAGTGGGAAAGGAGAAGAAGAGAAAGAAGAACAAGAGAGGAGTTGAGAAAAACTAATAATCTGCGACTGGGCTGGACTTTGAGTAAGCTTTGAATAACGTTTATCAATCAGTGTCAGACTTTAGTCGCATTGAGTCGAGTCGAGTCGAGTCGGATCACCATTTTCAAACTATCAACAAACAAATATCTTTCAAGTTCGAATTGTCAATCAATCACCCTCACCAATACCCTTTCATCTCAATCTCACAACCATCAAAATGCCTCACCACCTCTCCTCTTTCTTCAAATCCGTCGGCAGCGTAACCGAAAATGCTTGGGAGAGCGCGACGAACAATCTTTCTAATAGTCCGAAACGAAATCGCGAGCGTGGTTTGACTGTTCGTCAAAGTTTTCAACAAGCTCAGCAAGCTCAGCAGGCCCAACAAGCTCAGCAAGTTCAACAAATTCAACCAAGACGCTTATTCCCAGCTGTAAGACCAGCGCCTGTCCCTACTACTGCTACTGCTACTGCAGATCAACCTATTGGTCTTGGCTTAGGTCTTGGTATGGAAGTGGGACTTGAATCGGCTGATCATGAACATGAACAAGTTGGTATTCCAAGTGGTGTTGAAAATCAAAATCCAAACACAAGTTCCGACGCCATGGTTGATACAATTCACACAACTCACACAAGCACAACCAACAAAATAACTTCAAACACAACCTTCCCGCCACTCTCAACCTCAGCCCTCACAAAGACCTCTAGCAAAAACACTCAAAGAAGTGCGAATAGCAAGGAGACAAGCACAAGCAAGAGTGGAAATAGTTATAATCCGCTGGTCACTACAAGCTCGACATACACGAATCCGAGCGAGAATTTGCCGCCGACGCCAAATTTGAGGGCGGTAGAGGTAGGGAGATTTGGGGATGTTGTTGGTGGTGGTACTGCTGCGATTGGTGGTGGAGATGATAGTGCAGGAGGAAGTGCAGGAGGAAGTGCAGGAGGAAGTGCAGGAGGAAGTGCAGGAGGAAGTGCAGGAGGAAGTGCAGGAGGAAGTGCAAGTCATAGTCAGAGCGAGGAGATTAGTCCGGTCGATGGAATGGGTATGTTTGGTCCTGTTCCTAATCCTAATCCCGGTTCTGCATTTATTTCTAGTGGTAGTGCTGGTAGTGGTGCAGCTAGTGCGGGAGGAAATGCTACGATTGCGCATGAGCGAAGCGAACGTCATGGAAGTATTAATATGCAGACTCCTATTGTCACGGCCTCGGGAACTCGCGTTCATAATTATCGAGGTGTGGATCATGGTGCTGTTATGATTCCTGGTTCGGCTTCGGCTTCGGCTTCGGGCTCGGGTATCAATACTCCAAGATTGATTGCTGCTGGAATTGGTGCTTCTGGACTGGCTACTCAAGGAAGAGAACGCGCTTTTACGATTCCGAGAAAACCTGTTCCAATGACGATTGTGGTTGGCAATACAGGTCTTGAAGTTGTACCTTATGGACGTCCGATCGAGGACATCGAAACTGGCGCTTGCATTGTCAATAGACAAGAATGCATGGACTGGAAAAATCAATTTGAGGGAACAGGACGAGGACGAGGACAAGATGGAGATGAGAAAGATGGTGAAGGTGAAGGTGAAGATGGAGAGGGAGAGGAAGTTGGTGAGAGTGAGGAGGAGAGAAAGGAAAGATTGGAGAAGGAGAGAAAGGAGAGAGAGAAGCGAGATCTGTGAGTTTTTTATAACCTTTTTTATTTTCAAGTTTTTCTACAGTTCTCGAAGCTATCAAAGCTATTTTTTTACACTCGCCATCCATCTACTCTTATCCAAGAAGAACAATGACTAACACTCCCAGCCTCCACGAAAACCCCCTGCTCTCCCATCCGGTCAAGCCTACCACAATTGCCACCGGTACCCCACCCACCGTCTCTCCAACCTATATCGCCTCTACTTCTCTCAGCTCCAAACGTCGGGGTTTTCGTCGCTCATGGACCGCTCCTATCAATGGCTTTAACTTCACCAGCCTCGGTGGAATCGGCGTCATGGGATTCGGAAATTCAAACCAAGATCCAAATATGCATGGAGGACTTGGCGATACGGGAATGGGAACGGGGATGGGAATCAACCAGAGAGGTACTGCCAGAGATAGATATTCTGGAAATAGTAGTGAAGCAATGGGAATGGGTTCTAGACGGGGAAGTTTTCTGCGCAGAGCAAGTGTGAGTTTCAAGGGGATGGGATTGGGGATGCAGGGATTTTTGAGGGGTACGAGTGGAGGTGGTGGTGCGCTTGCTGGAGCTGGAGCAGGTACTGCTGCTGCGGAGAGAATGGGTATGAGTATGGATCATACGCGTGAAGGTGGAGCAGCTGCAGGAAGCGGAAGACCGGTCACCATGCAATCGGAGTATAGAGGTGTAGGTGGATATGTGGGGGATGACGCTATGGCTCTTGCGCGGGAGAGAGTTGCGGAGGCTGGTATGTGTTTGCTCTTGTTTTCTTTCCTTTCCTTTTGTCGATTATTATCATGGTCTGAATTCAAGTCGCTAATGGTTTGTTTGTGATGGATAGAAAATCAACGACGAAGAAGTCATCGCCAATCAATGGTCCTGCCAAAATTCGAATGGGAGGAAGAGTTTGCTACTGCGGAGGAGGATGAGGGTGATGCTTGAGTTCTTGTGTTGCTATCTATCTAGTGCTAGTGCGTTTACGCATACTAGGTGATTCGATAACTAGAAAGGATGGATAGTTTTCATTTTGCTAGGAGGTTGCTTGTTGTGACGGTTGGATGGGGGGATAGGACAGTCACAGTTAGGGGTTTTTAAGAGTGCAATGACTACGACTACGATTATGAAGGAATGGACGAAGTGGAAGAATTAATAAATAAATGGATGGATATGGGTACAAAAATAATGATGAGGTCTAGCTAGATAGTGGGAAGTATGTAGGGGAAGTCTGGGCTGGGTGCTTGATTTAGTCACGCACTTTACTTACTTCGTTTACTTCACTTGTTTCACATAGTAGATAGATAGTCACTTGAGAGATTTGAAATCGAGAGTTGCTTGCTTTTATTGGGATTTGTTTGGTGGGGATGCTGATTTGTTGTGAGTGTGAGTGTGAGTGTGAGTGTGTATGATGTGGGTTTGAATATGGTTGTTGATGCGGCTGTGGTCATAAAACCCATCTTGTAAAAATAGACTAATGAAAATAGACCTGGATCTCTATGAATACCTACATGAGTCCACATTCATACCTACATCATATCCATCCGGTATTGTAAATAAATAGCTCAGAAACAAACACAAACTCACTTGGTTTGGTGGGTATAAGAGTGCATAAGTGGAAAATATGTGAGACGAAGAGGAGTATGTCTAGTTACACTAGAAGTTTGTGTTAATACGTAGGTGTGTTTGTGGTTTTTTAAGAGACTAGGTAATAAGATTGTTTGGGTTTCTCGTTCTTGGGGTTTATGATTTCTTTATAAGTATGTTGTTTTAAGTAAGATCTTACATAGTTTAGGTAGGAGATAGAAAGACCTTTATTGTTTGTTCAGGTATGGATGTAAAGGCTGTTGAGTGAATAATCGTAGGGATATTTGATGCTAGAATTTGTCATGATACTTTATTTCCCCGCTCTTGGTTGGAGAAATTTCTTGATATAATTATTAGCTACAGTACAAAGATGTGCTACTGTCCAATCAAGGAAACTGATTGGCTCCACAGCTTCTTTCTCTCTCTCTCTCTCTTTCTCTCTCTATACCCCCTGTGTGTTGCTTCATCTGAAACCTTTTTGCCGATTCTTTATTTCTACATTTATCTCCTTCATCTTGGATTCAAAGCAACTAAATATTGCAAACATCAAGGCATATCTACAAGGATATTGAATCAACATCTAATCATTCTTGACCTACCACATACCAATACTCTACGTATTTGAAGAAGAAAATTGAGGATGAAAGTCCGAAGAAAATTGAGGATGAGAGTCCCGACTCATCTTGGGGTTGAGTTCAAGACTAAACCCGTTGCTAAACGAGATGTCAAGGACAAACTGGAATCAAGAGCTACTGAACAAGTAGTGCAAGGAGAATTTCGTTTCATTCAAGAGTTTGAATCTTTCTGGAGAGATGGCAAGAGATTTGTTCATGGTCCTGGTATGTTTGACATCTTTGCATGTTGTTTAATTTTGATGGTCACACTACTGAAACTGCTTTAGACATTAGATACTACAACACAAGAGTCCCTGAGTACAAGGAAGAATGGAATAGTAACGATTGCTATTATGTCTCAACCATGGACATCAAATCTCTATCTTATGTCGATACCCCAAAGACAGATCCACACTTAGTTACACACATAAGTGAAAGACAATGGAATCTGCCTCGAAACCATCCACATCACCTACTCAACTTTCCTCAAGGTATGTATGATATCATTTGAAGCATAGAAAGTTTGAATACTAATCTTACTATTTACAGAGGTTCTCGATCTGATCCTGGGCTTCACATTGGTCATCAAAGATCATACTATCACACCCGATGTCACTTCAAGCAACAAAAAGAATTCATATAAAATGTCACAATCGTACACATTGGACGGCCAGAGATATAAACCAGGCAAGAGATATAAACCACCAAAGTTCTTTAACATCGCCCATCCGGTTCCATTGAGTACCATTATCACTAAGAAACATCATGATTCAGAAGGCGCATACTTCATGCTTCATGAAGTTTACCGTCCAATGATAGATGCAACAATACTTCGAGTTTGTAAGGCTATTTCAGTTCAAGGGACAAAGATGTTGTATGAAAAGAATACATTTCAGTTCTCCATGACGCAGGTTACCACCACTGCATGTCCAGGATATCTGGTCTCTGGGAAAGTCCACAAGCCCCGTGTGGTACTGAAACACTGTAGACGAAAACAATTGGATTCCGTCCCTATCCCTGATATGCCAAACCATAATGGGTACTTGCCGATGGCATTTCAGGCAATTGAAACACAGTTGCCATTATTTGATCTTGAAGAATATCTCTACCACGATCACTTCATCCGATTCTTACGCGTCATTGGTCCAGCCAAAGCTGCTATGATCAAAAAGTTACATTTTCACGGATTAACTGTCACACATGAATGTCGAGGTCCTAATCTTCGTCCCATTCCAGCCCAAACCCATCAGGACGCCCACTGTAACTGCGAAGACGACTTGTATGACAGCCTTTTCTTATATATTCCGTTAATCAACAAGTTCTGTACCAGTCTCCAAACAATGGTGATTGGCATTGGAGAAGACAAAATGTATATGCCATCTTCTCTCATACAATCACAGACTACTGTTAGATTTGAAGCTCTCAATGAGCTGTTGAAAACACTGAAGACGGTCCGTCGTCTTGAGATCTATCAATTGAAGGAAGCTAATCCAAACTACTTTGTCTTTGAGATTGGATCGAATAGGATAGCTCACACTTTCCTTGAACTTTATAGTAGAAGAGTTGTAGAGCTGGAAAGAAAGGTCACTAGGTGGTTCAAAGAGAGAGCAGATAAGTGGGAACATGAGGAGATTGAGAGGCAGAAGAATCTTATGACTTTTGAGACACCACCCCAAACAGGAGAAGAGTAATGATTGCATTGGATTTCCCTTGATAGAATTTCAGCATGGATGCTCTGGTCGAACAAAATCGTGTCACCTCAAATCTCTAGTTAGTATTTTGGGACTTTAATCAATATTCTTTGTGTAAAAGTCTTGTGGAAAGCAAGGGAGTGAGTTCAATGACAGATGAGTGGATTGCTGAGGATTCTATTTCTAACCATAGGGGGTACAATCTAGATTAGATTCAATACCACATTGCCATGGATAGTATTGGCCTTCCTACTTGCTCAGCCTTCAATGCAATGTTTAAGAGCATAACTATGTGATAGAAAAATGAACAATGTTTGACTCTGTGGTCATAATCTCAGGAAACTGTTTGTCATGACATTCTCTTCTTTATTCTGTTATATATACACCTCATCCACAGTATCAAAATATCTTGAAGATTTTCATTTAGGTTTATCCCACCATGACTAAATAAACAAATGTGAATAATGAAAAAACAATTTCGAGTACTTTGCTGACAGCCCATAGTTCTCAGTTGATATGAGGGTAAAGAATTTCAAAAATAGAATAAGATATATAAAATCCGAGCGAGAAGCACCAATAAACTGCCAAGGCTCATTTATCTCGCTAATCAGTGTCACATGCAGTTTCACCTGAAATGGAAGGTTCCCAGGACTTAAAGTCTGGTTTTTAACAACAGAAAGTAGCTTCCTTTTCAAGGTCAAAGCGGCTACTATTTTCTTGTGTTATTTTAAGTGCCGGTAATCATCTCTTTGGACAACCTTTGGACAACCTTTGAACAACGCCATTGCCAAATTATTTGCTAAGCAATTTTGACAAATTGAGACTCGAAAGCTACTGCCAGATTACCAGATTAAATCATCAAGTGAAATCGTGTATTTCTATCAGGGGAAGCCAGAAGGAAATGGGTACAAACTCAATTACCACAAATGATAACAGAAGTTTATCAACCTCTATTTACTTTGGCTCTTGGTAAGTTTGAATCCACAATTACAAGTACTCCACAAGGGATGCAAATGTACTCCATATATCTAATAAATTTACAGCGAACCTTAAACCTTTTCCACTACGGAAATTCAGGTTTCGCTGAACCATCTATCAAATCCAAGTTACATCACGATGGTGCGACTTATCGAACCTTCACAGTCGCAAGACATCAATGTGATCTCAGCCCGTACAGCACAGAGCCCAGCCACTTCTTCAAGTGAGGAGGAATCCAATCAAACGAGTAGAATGGTTTCCAAGAGAGTTATTCCAGGCACAAAGGCTGCAAGAACCAACGCGAAAAAGCGATTTCATCATGGGATTTGGATTGAACCATCAGTTAAAGAGTCTGACATGGATTGGAAACCTACTGATGAGCAGTTGACATTTGCGAATGGTATCGGCTGGGGAGATAGTCCAGTCTCGAAAACAGTCGAGAATAAGATGTTCAGGCTTTTACGGAAGGAAGTTAGTGTAACGGAGGGAACAGATGTGAAAGAGAGGACAACTGTTAGAAAGCGAAAGGCAATGAGTATACCTGCGCCTGTTCCAACAGATGAAACGCCTGATAGTACTGATAGACGAAGTCAGAGGGTACGGAAACAGGTCAAAACATATAATGACAGGGCCTTAGCTAGGATAGCTGTATCTTCCAGGGAGGAGTATCGAAGTGATAGTGATGATCCAGAGAGCGCAGCCCAGGAACAAACCATGTCACCTATACAGCCTCAAATAGCGGTGGAGGATCCAGTCGGCTCACCTGCTAGATCGGAGGCCGAGTCTTCGGACAGGGAGCCTGAAACTATCGAGAGACGAAGTCAACGAGCCCGTCCCATGGTCAAAACTTACAATACCAAGATTCTGGCTGGCACAGCTGTGCATACTCCGGCAAAGTACATAAAGAGTCAGACTTGAGGGGTTGAAGCACGGCGACTAAGAATGGTATCTGGACGAAGCCGAAGAAGGAAAAAGGATTAAAGTTTTCTGTGCCGTTGGCATAAGGTTCAAAGCTTGAGAAGCGTGGATATGGGGAGTCTCGGGAAATACTAGAAGCTTATGGTACTCCACATTGTCATCAGTGTCTTTTACCCTGGATGTTGCTACTACGGTAATCTTTGGCTTTCATGTATTCTGATAAGTGTGCGTAGAAGCGCAGAGAACTGACTAATGGAGTGGAGATCAAGACCGGAGGAAATATGTATTGATGGTCTCAAAGATTTTTCTTGTACCATGCTAGCCAGTCACTTTCAAGGCGAGAAAGGAGTGTCACTGGCAGCACTTGATCAACGACTAATGTAAGAAAATGTGTTGATTCGCGTGCAAAGGATCTTATTACTTTCTCGAGATTATTTCAGGCTATCAAGGAACGATTATTTAGACTGCACAGCCTATCAAATACAAAATTGGCTACTCAGAATAAGACTTGAATAATTCAAGCTCGAAAACTATTGGCTTGCAGTAAAGAAATGTTTGACAAATATGTGTGAGCTCAACTAAAATTGTTGTAAAGTATTGGTCCATCCAAACTTTCCTCTTTCTGCCTCTTCCTTCTAAAACGACATGTGTTGATACATACCTACGTAGACGAATCACCTGTTCTATTGATCAAAGACTCAGTAATAAAACCATTCTGATGAGTTAACTGTGACCCATAGTTATGATAGTGACCCTCTAGACTAATTTCTACCATTTGAAAACCTCCTTTTATGTGTTCGAGTGCAGTCTACATTCTTTAGAACCCTCCGCATATGATTCGCTAAGACTAATAATCACTAAAGAAAGTTTATTGGTGAGTAGGGAATTGCTTTTGCGAAGTACACCATCGAAAACTTGATCAGAGATAAAGAGGTCGAGAAGAGTGGTAGTCGGTTTATTTTTGACGCTAGTATGTCGATTTCTACCTTGTACAACTATCTGTATTAATATGTACTCTAGATATAAGACTCTATTACGATAAACAACAGCGTCGTGGCGAGTTGGTTACCTTCCTTTTCAACTCGGAGTATCGTAAAGCACCTCGGCTCAATGAAGTCGATAGAACCTCTGACTTGTTATTGCGTTGTCGTCAGTTGCTTTGTCTAGACCCTATAGATTCTTGGAATCTACCGACATCTCACCCTCGTCATATCCTGAAGTTTCCAATAGGTACGTAACTGCACTTAAAATCTACGTTGGTGATATTGTACATGCAAATTGTATTTTCACTTGTGATTTTTCATGGCTGACTTTTGTGTTTAGTATAGAAATTATCAGCAGAATCCTTAGTTTCATTCTTGTTGTAGAAGAAGAACAAGGCTCCTTGGTCTCAGACGCAATTACCTGTAACCTCAACAGCCAGTTCCTCTATCGAGAACCAGACTACAGTGTTCATTATTCCGAATATATTGGTCCTATATGTCAAACAGATCCCTGGCTTTACTCGCAGTACTCGATTCGATTCCGAAGAAAAACCCACAGCTTTTGCAAGCTCGAAACAGGCAGTCAGACATTGGTGAAAATGAATCATCTAGTTGACGATCGCTTTATCGACGCAAGTTGTTTACGTGTCTGTAAAGACTTTTACAATATTTGTTCAGCGCTACTTTATCGAGACAACAGTTTTACTTTCACTACATATATATCCAATATTTTAAGTTCAGGAATTGGAAGCGCGTGCATGGTAGATGAAAGTAACTCCAGAAAAAGAAACCAGTATGCGAGATTTCGGACGCCTGATCCAAGTCTGCTCTCTCTCAGTGATTGGAATGATGAAATTGGTAAAGGCATTTCTCAAATCAAGGATCCTTTCACGGTAGACCGAATGAGTTGGCTGTACTACGACCCATTTCTTCGATTTCTTCATTCTATAGGTTTGAAAAATGCAGCCCTCTTGAAAACGCTTCAATTTACTGGAATAGCCAGAAATCATACAAGCCATTTACCTAGAGATCATATTGCCGCCCTACCGTCAGATGACATACGACCTATTTTACAACTTTACGTCAAATTTATTAACCAACTATGTCCAGGGATACAGCAAATTACCTTGAACATCCATCCAGAAGAAGGTGGGGACGGAAATCTCGAAAAGGATCTATCTCTACTCTTGGGAGATCATATCAGGGAGCTGAAGACTGTCAAGATATTGATATTACCTACTGCTGACAGTAGTAGTCAGTCTGAGAAGTACGTTTCCATGAAATTTCCCCTTGCAACAGAGACAATGCAATGGTTTACAGACAGAACAGCGAGAAGAGTAGCTGAGGATCGGAAACTCGCAGGATTTATGCTTTAGAGTTTTATGAGGTAGGATTTGCATCAGGAGAAGATGCTTTCTGGGAGCGGTGTTGAGATTTCATTTCCCCAGTTATGTTAATATTTCCATGAGGGTATACAATCAAAGAATATTTTGAGAGTTCTTGTGATATGGCGCAAGTGATCCACTAACAAGTGACTAATAGCTTGTTTCGAGAGTAAGAGTTTAGCTCAAACGTCCTCGAGTGCTACTCAATCTCTATGACAACGAATGCGTTCAATACTTTACAAATGCGATTGAGTATGGAAAGACAAAGCATTTTTTGTGGGGATTTAGAAATTTTCATTATTATATATTCATACCTGTCATTAATTTCTATATAAAAGTGTATAAACTTCTCAGCATTCAAATTTTTTATAACTGATTTCTTAGGCTAAAACTTCAAGCATCGTATAGATTACTGTATTTGTTAAATCAGATAAAACTCGCTATCTGAACAATACAGGAGGAATTGATAGTGGAGAAACCAAAGTCTAGGCTAGCATTTTTTAAGCGAGCGCGGGGTTTCTAGTAAGGGGGTTTTGAATTTCTCCCTAAGAAACAGTTTCGTATCGCAGGATTATAATATAACCATTACAGTCAAATTACTCTCAATTATTAGCTGATTCAAGGATGATTCAAAGAGGAAAATACTATGCAAATGATACGGATTAATTGACCGCGGCTAAATTATCACCGTTTACCGCGCTCGGCGAAGCAAGCAAATGGCAGCGAGACATCAGAAATCGCACCAATGTTCATGAGCCTCAATAAGGATAACATGAAGCGCATGCTTATACTTGGTCGCTTAGCCGTACAAGTTGCTAGTGCTATTATATGATTCACGATCAACTAATAATCATTAATCGCATTATGTGGTACGTTGTGAATGGAGAGGTAGATTCTAGTACGGCATCTTTATACAGATTGAATTATCTGCTTAAAGCTTGATATAGGACCGTACGAGTCCGTATTGCTGATACATCATTAGCAATCCGCCAACCATGAAATAGATCTATGATACATTATTAGCTTTAACGACGATCTTTGTTGAACTCTTTTGCTACGGTTGTTGATGGTACCAAGAAGACTTCCACAAGTACTTATATAAGGAAATTAACTTCCCACCTCAGAAAGTTCTCTTGCTCTCCTTCTCATCTTTCATCAATAACTTCTTTGATAAGGACTCCCTTCTTCAACAAATTCGGCTAACAAGAACTTCATCTACTAAGAATTTCATTTATCAAGACCTTTATCTTACATACAAAATTTCAGATGAATTTATTAAGTTCAGTATCAGGCCACTTCAATCTTCCGTTAAGACCAAAGATGTCTGCAAAAGAGAAAAAATCTTATATGGAGAAGCAAAATTCTCTGAAAGAGCAGCTCCGCGCATCTACCGAATTTCCAGATCTTACTCCTGAGGAGGCCCTTCAGAAACGAGTTCTTGCTCGCTGGATCCATAATCAATGGTTTGTGAAAGATGGAATACGCCATATCATTTGCAGAGGCATGTATATCACTGAACAGCTTTAATCATTCAATGTATACTAACTTGATGATCATTTTAGATATTGAATACTACTATTATAAAGCCCAGCCTCGACTCTGGAAAAATCTTGAACGTTGGAGATCAACGACTGAGACTCAGGTTTATGTCGATTATTGGGACAGTCCGGTTCCGCTAAAGGATGTGGACCGCGTGACTAAGGAGGCACTGGCAGCTCGTGAAGCAATTGGTATTCATCCAAGTGAGGGGGGTTGGAATCTACCGAGATCTCATTCGAGACACTTGCTCAACTTTCCGCAGGGTAAGTTTGCTATCATTAAACTCTTATGATTTCCCAAGTAGATAGTGGCTAACTTTTGTTCAACTTATAGAGATTCTGGACAAGATTATTGGTTATAATCTCATTGTCGGCGAGGACGTAGGCTCTATAGCCCCTAGAGCAATGACTAGTAACAAAAACAGCGACTACCAAGAAGCCCATTACCAAATCGCTCGCCCTCCTTATCCTGGACCTGTTCGCCAAGACCTCCCATGTAATGGGTACCGTGTGTATGCCTTTGCTGAAAGATATCATCCATCCATTGCAATGTTTGGAGATACTTTTTTCGAGAGAGGACCACAATCCATCAAGAGAACAGAAATGAGCGATGAATTTGGGCCTTACATTCAGATGCAGAATGTCTTACGTCCAATGATTGATTCAAGCTGTCTCAGAGCATGTAAAGCTTTCCACAGTTATGGTACGGAGATGTTGTACAGACATAACACTTTTACGTTTGACATTGCAACTTATAGGAATCCGCGAAAATTTATGATGTACGATCAGGATGGACCTCGCTCAAGCTCGACCGTCCTCAAACCAGATAGACACATAGAGAGTGTTGGAGTACGACAGCCATATAACGAATGGTTAGCCGAAGTTAAAGACGTAGTGTCTCAAGTAAAACAATCTGTTAGCGTCAAAGATTTAGCAGGCTGGGCTTACCAAGATCCCTTCGTTCGATTCCTTTATAACATTGGCCCGGAAAATGCGAAGCTTATCAAAACTCTCCAGTTTTCTGGAACTATGAAAACTCATCGCTGCGATCCAGGAAGAGATCATCATAAGAATTGTGGCGAGGGTTTCATGTTGAACTTCCTCATCTATCTACAATTTATCCGTGAGCTTTGTCCGCACTTAGAAAAGCTTGTCTTGAACATCGCTCCGGATGTTCATCGTCGTTACGACAATAAAGAATGGTTGAGATGGTCTAGCTTCCTGGTAAATCTAACTCCGCTCCTGAAAGATCAACTTAGAAAGTTAGAGACAGTCAAAACTTTAATTCTTTGTACCCGGAATGAAGCGAAACCAACTGAGCAGAATCATCTTTATGAACCAATGAAGTTTCCTCTTGCTGTAGAAACATGTAAATGGTTTGAGGATAGGGCAAAAGGTTGGGCATCAAATGCTTAAGATCATTCGAGAGTGCTCAAAAGATAATATATGGATATCAGGTTGAGAGAGTCAAGTCAAGCATGATTTGGTTTCATTGGACGAGGGTGCTAGGAGTTCGGTTCAGTCTTTTGACCTGTGTATCTCCAGGTTTTTCAGCAAGTAATTAATGGACTCCACTGATACATTATCATGAATCATCGAACATTATTTTACACTTACAATCGTGATTCAACAACTTTGTAGAGTTTTACCCAAATAGCGATTTCACTGACAGCTAACGACCAACCCCGTGCACGTATAACAACAGGTGACTTTGAAAAGCTTGCTTTAATTGTATTCCTATTTGCCAACGAATAACTCTTCCAAAATATATAAACACCTTGCATTCATCACCCTAACATTCAGTTCTCATCATTCAAAAACATGACTTTACTGAACTCTCCCGTGAATCGGATGGAAAATTTTGAGCAAGAGAGGGCATGGAATAATGTAGCCGCTGTTATTGCGAGTGATGAATGCGCAAGTAAGAATTGAGCAGAGTGAATATAAAGATTCGTATAGATTCCCACTGAATTACACCATACGGCATCTCGAGTGTATACGCTCGGATTTTTCATTTGAATATTGATGCGCTAATGCGTCGCTTCATGTCTGCTGTATAGACTAGCGTCGAAACAAGCGAGTCGAACTATTTCCCATGGCTTCATAAGCTCCCTTCCCTCCAAGATCCATTCCTACAAAGTTTTCTACAACATCAACTCGAACATCAATTTCAACATCAACACCAACTTCCAACACCAACTTCCAACACCAACTTCAACTTCAATATCAAATTAACATCTCATTTCACCCCTAACTACATCAAAATGCCGGCACCTATGCTTTATGGCCGCACTATTCCGTTTGGACCTTACACTCCAGAGGATCTAGTACAGGCACGCCGCGAGAATCCAGAAGAGAAGCTGGCGTCCAGGGCTTTGGAAAAATACGCCCACGCTAATTGGAACGGATCAGCCAGCAACAAATGGTTCTGGAAAAACAACTGCCGCTACACTTGCGGTGATGGTATGTTTAAATCACAGTAACAATCTAGTAATTTTAAAGATTTCTTGCTTACTTTGATCATTTCAGACATCATCTATAATCAGATCTGGGTACCCAGAACCAAAGAAGTTCGTTGTCCTTACAACGGTAAGAAGTACTTGGTTCCACTGGGTGGTCCCCCAACGCTGTCACAGATCGATGTACCAAAGCCACAGAGGCTTTCAAAGCTACTTGCTCACAAGAGCGATATGGAATGGTGCTTGCCTCGTGATCATCCCCGTCATCTTTTAAACTTCCCGCAAGGTACATTAACTCTAAAATTCCGATTGCAAACTGAATACTAATCATCTGGACACAGAAATTCTGGACGCAATTTTTGGGTTCACATTGAGCACTCAGAATTTCATTGTTGCACCTGATGTCTCTACCTCGAACAAGATGGACAAGTATGAAGACTCTAAACTCCATTCAACCTACACGTTGGTGGAGGCAGGTTATCGTATGGCTCAACCAAATACGCCTCATTTCGAATCTCTCGATATAAGCACAGTGATACACGAGCAACGATATGATGCACAGGGAAAGTACTTCGTTCTTCGCAGAGTTTGCCGCCATTTGATCGACGCAACAATTCTGCGGGTCTGCAAGAGCATCTGTGACCAGGGGAATGAACTTTTATATGCAGGAAACGAATTCAAGTTCTCAACAACAAAGACCGGCAAATTGGGTGCCGCAGAAAGCTTGTTTGAAGATGGGTTAATTCCAAGCCCTGGGTCGCATAGGTCATTTTGCCAGGGAAGAGACTGCCAAAAAGCCACAGAGATACGACAAGAAATGGCCGATGATGCTATCAGTATCATACAAAACAGAACACCGGTGCAAGATCTGTACTTTGATATGTATCACGATCTCTTTGTACGATTCCTTCGTGCCATTGGGCCAAGCAAGGCCGCGATGATCAAGACTCTGCATTTTAGCGGACCCATCAAGCAACACTATTGCTCTCAGGACTCCAGTTGTACGAAAGCTTACAAGTGTTGCGAAGATGACTTGATCGAAAGTCTTCTTTTATACATTACTCTCATCAAGAAGTTTTGCAAGAACTTGCAAAAGTTAGTAATTGTCATGAGGAAAGACTTCGAAACAAGCGATAGCTTCAGGGGAGGGCGAACATTCTATGACTACGAAGAACGAGGACGCCAGTGCTATGCACGCCTGCAAGACTTGCTAGAAAATCAAATCAGAGAGTTGAACACGGTTCAACATCTAGAGGTCTATGAGGTTCACCGGGATGAAGTAGAGTGTGCGAAAGAAACAGAGGCATGGTTTTCTGAGAGAACTCGCCTGCGGGGACTTGAGGCACTTCAAAAGGCAAAACTGTAGAGCAGAATGCAGGCTTTGACTTTTGGTGATGATAACGCCAGTAGCTCTGTCGAAACTTCTGTTTGATGTTTCGGAACCAAGGCTAATGCGTCACGCCTTTCAAGGGACAGCACTACCGATGATCAGGCATTCATCCAGGGAGTTAAGGTGCTGGATTTATAGCAAAAATGTCTTTTAATAATTGAAACATCACCCCACACTCAGATTCCAGGTGCTTATATTTGCAAAATTGTGATGAAAATAACGAATCAACTGTTGAAATGACAAGCTTTTGCCCACTGACTCTGTTCTCAACTATGGGACCATTGATTTATAGTATCAACGAGCTTTGACTAACAATTTACAAGTAAGTCTTCACAAGATGTAGATCAAGTACTTCTTGTCGTTTCTTTGAATTTACTCTCTCTTACTTCCCCTGTCTTATTCGAGTGTTGTTGGACCGTCTCATTGTTTTCTCTGCTCTATTGTATAACTCTATACCCATACTGTGTCGATAAAGCATCGAGAGTGGACAAGATGTACGCTTAAAAGCAATGAGTTGACCGTTAGGGAATGGTACTGTGTTGTGACTAACCATGGATCATTTTCCCGTGTTTCCAGTGCCAAAAGTCGGCACGTGTTTCAACTTGTATTTCTAGCAATATCTGGCTTCACTAGACGAGATACATGAATTGAGTGAAGTAGAAGAAAAGTGAATATGAAAGGTCTGGCCAGAACGGGAAATTGAAGTCTGGCACGTGCCTTTCTCAGTCTCATGCCTCAAATCTCAAATCGAATGTCAGTCACAAACTTCAGTTCAGTTTCCTGCGAGATCAAACCCAACATCAATCACACAAACAAGAATGTTCGAATGGATTGATACCATAAATTGATAGTGATTTCTTCTCTCTTCTTTTGTTTCTCTTCAATAAATTCTCCATTCTCTCTCAAAATTGTGTATTGCCAGAACAAAGATGCCACCACGATTTTCTCCCCGTGTTCCGCGCGAACATATCAGCAATCTTCCGCCAATGACTCAACACGACCTTGATGCCGCACGCAAAGAATTTCCAGAGGAAAAGCTTCCATCAAGAGCCCTGGAGAAGTATGCGAAGAAGCATTGGATTGAAGATCGTTACTTTTGGAAGGATAATTTTCGTTATGTCTGCGGCTCTGGTATGTTGACTCAATCCAAGCTCAAAGAGTAACTTTGATTGCTTGAGGGTGCAATATACTTATTTTGTCAATCGCAGATGTTCAATATTTCACAGCTACCATTCCTAGATGCGAAAGGAAAATTAGCTATGACCCGAAGAGAATATACCACGTTGCTAAAAATACTCCGACATTAGCTATGATCGATCGACCGAAGAAGAAAGGACTCCAGAAATTGGTCGCACATCAAAGTGAAGGCGGATGGGCATTGCCTCGAAATCATCAGCGGCACTTGTTAAACTTTCCTCAAGGTAAGTTGTTCGTTTTATAATGAATTCATAGACGATGAGCCCCTCTTCAATCCCCAACTATCATAATTGTTCCACACTTCTTTCATTTCTTTCCAAGAAGACATGGTTTTATTGTTCGATCTTCTATGGAAACGGGAAAATCGATTCTACAAGACTCCAGAGAGTCCAAAAGAAGATTTCATGAGCATAATTGCGCCAAAATTTCTCATGGTATTATGTATTCATACATTCGTTGTTGATTGCTATTCTATTATTCACCGCTGATTGTGCTTGACAGAAATCATCGATGCAATCTCCGGCTGGGTTTTGACAATTGAGGATCATGCAATAACTCCAGACGTCACAACATCAGATTGGGCACAGGTTTTTAAGTCTCATAAGACCTATTCCCTGGATGGTGAACAGAGTCTTAAATCAGAACTCAGCTTTAACACTATTATCACACAACCTTGCAAAGATCAAGAAGGAAAATACTTTGAGCTTCGAAAGGTATATCGCCCCAAGATAGACGCGACTCTATTGCGAGTGTGCAAAAGCTTCAGAGACAATGCAACCAAGTTGTTGTATAAGGAAAACGTATTCCATTTTACAACCATGGATTGGAGTGAAGCCGGTAGTCCCATTTCTTGGATTGATCGCGAGAATATACGCAGCTGGAATATCGAGGGGATCATACAGCGCCCGTTGCATGAAGTTCCATTACTGTTCACACGAGTTCACGTGACAGAGCCATTTGAAAGTTTCGAGCCCGACTCCTTTGCCGTTAATGACGCTATTCGCTTGATTGAAAGCTCGGGGACTCCAGTACTCGAAGACTGTTGGGCTGCATACAGCTATCACGACCACTTTTTCCGCTTTCTCCAAGCGATTGGCAAAGAGAAGGCTGGAATGCTAAAGACTTTAAAATTCAGTGGAACAGTCATCCTACACATGTGTGAGTTCAGCGGCTCTGCGCATGCCCCCAATGGTTTAACAAAATCGTTGTGCTCTAAGGACCTGGTCGATACCCTTCGTTTGTATATTCCGATCATCAATAGGTTCTGTACCGGTTTGGAGAGGCTAGTGATTGAAGTGCAGAAAGACCCCCACCAAGACTGGTCGTTACTACTTGACTTGGGTTCTTTGGACTCGGCCGAGAGTGTTCACCAACAGTACATAACCTCCCTGCTCGAAGGAGAGCTCCGAAAACTCAAGACAGTAAAAACACTGGAAGTGTATGAATTGTTTGAGGTCGAGGACGCCGCCTCTGCAGCAGAGCCTTTAGTCGATGACCCCGAGCCCAGAAAACTCATGAAAAGAAAGAAGCTTGATATTGCAGAACCGACGATAGTATGGTTTAGGGATAGAGCAAGCAAGTTGGGTAATGGGAAAGGAGAAGAATGAAACAGTAGCAATGAGGATATCTTCAGGGCGCCTCAAATTGCATGATGAAGGATATTTTATATATGTGCCAGGGAAGGCACTGAATGGGGGATGAAGAAGACAGTTCTGAGGAAAGTGCTTTTGCTTTCAGGGATTGATGATGATCTTGTAAGCGGTAGCTAGAATGGAGAGAAATTGCACCTAATTAATAATAGCTTGTGCTCGTCCACGTGAAACTCTCTCAAACGGGTGTTCACCTGTTTGTGTCCGCAATTTCAAGCATTCAAAGTCTCGGATTGTTGATATAGATATCCTGGGGCGATATACCTTTCGAAGCTCAAAGTATGTCCCTTCTTGATCTTTGCAAGGATACCTCAGTATTGGTGAACCGGGCGGATGTCCAAATATTGTTCGTAGATTGGTGATAAGACATTGACAATTCAAAACACTCAGTCTGGTCTTCATATAAAACATAATGAGTGATTTGACACTGGCCCATGAATTTTTGAAAGTTGGAGATGCCTTGGACTTTTGGATCTCGTTCGTTCCTTCAATCGTGCTTGGTGACCATTTGCTGCCCCCTTTTCACATCCATCTTGCCCTCTTCATTCCTCGTATCGTCTTTATTGAAACATTACCACGAACTCTAACATCTCAACAACTCATACATATCTCCGGACTCTTATCTCGTCACATGTTCCAAACACCAAGAGTGAAGCGGACTCATATAGCTCTCCATATCGTCTCACTCCATCAATCTCATCTTAATGTATCATGAATATGCACCGCTTTTCTTCGAAATCACGATTCGAAAAAGGACAAATGGAAGAATCAGTCCGCAATCACGTGCACCTGACTCAAAAATTGGGGCTAGAGTAACCTTACTAGCGCCAACAGATCATGACGGCATCTTTGAGTTCCTCCCCACACTCCGAGACTCCCAACCTTTACTGACATCCTTCATATGAACATCGATTTGTCCTTAGAATAAATCTTATACAGAACATTAACGGATAACCACTTTATACATCATGTACCAATTGTGAAAATTCCGTCTCATATCGCAACGAGATCGCCACTTTCAAGTATAAATTCACACCTTCCACATGCAGATGTGAATCATGATCCTAACATCATACCATCAAAACCCCAACTTCAAATTCTCGTGCGCCGCGTACGTCAACCACATCTTTCCGCAATAGACAATACACCCCATACCCAAGAACCGGGTGAGGGGTCGCAGATGTCGATCTTTGACGTCGATCTAGGACATGCATATTCGGCGCACGCGTTTGTATCGATGTGGAAACGTGGGGTGCGGAGAAGAGCGCTCGGATCCAAATAATGCTTCTCTGTATCGTGTCACAGCGGAAAGAGATAAATTTCCGCGTTTTTGTCACGAATGATATTCCTTTTGAGTGGAAAGAATGCTCCGAAGTTGATGGCTATCTTGCATTGGCGTAGATCATCACCATGTAAGTAATACAGCATCAAATAAGTATATCGACCCTTCTTTCCTTTTTTTTTCTGCTTCTTTTCATACCCCCTACCCCAATTCTTTACAAAATAATGGCATCATCATCGCACCATGACCACACTCCTAATCCCGTCCTCTATATCGGCAACCCCTTAGCCCACGCTCATACCAATTCCTCCAACTCAATATACTTTGCCCCCTTTGCTGGTGCTCTCCAGCCCGGTCTGTATCGAGCTCCCAAGAAAAACATAGCGAATCCTGCACCTTTAGGACTTGCTGCTTTTGCATTGACGACATTTGTATTGAGCTTGATAAATTGGCATACGAGAGATGTTTCGGAGCCGAATATTGTGGTTGCGTTGGCTTTTGGGTATGGTGGGTTGGTTCAGTTATTGGCGGGGATGTGGTATGTTGAATTCTCTCATATCTGTTGATTCGGATTAGAGTGTGTGAAACTTTTGCTGATGAGGAATGACGCAGGGAAATGGCAGCCGGAAACACGTTTGGTGCCACGGCATTAAGTTCCTACGGAGGATTTTGGATATCTCTCGCGATTATCTTGACACCAGGTGGATTTGGAATTCAAGCCTCCTATGAAAATCCAGTACATTTTTACTATGCGTTTGGATTTTTCCTTATGGTATTTCCTATCTTCTCAGTTATACCCCGTTCACCACATAAGTCTACCAACTAACATTTCTCCAGGGCTGGTTCATATTCACATTCATCCTCTGGATCCTCACCCTTCGCTCCACCGTCGTCTTCTCCTTTCTCTTCTTCATGGTCGTTCTCACCTTCCTAATGCTCGGTCTCGCCTACTTGTATCCTGGAGAAGCAGGTCCAAATGTGGCTTTCCAAAAAGCAGGCGGAATGTTTGGACTCCTAGCAGCGTTTGCAGCGTGGTACGTGACGCTAGGTGGATTGGCAGATGATTCGAATAGCTTTTTCACGGTGCCAGTGTGGCATTTCCCATGGAGTGATAAGGGGAGAGAGACGAGAAGGGAGAGGAGTGGAAGTTTGGAGGAAGGGAGTGTTGGAGGGAGGAGGAGCGAGGAACAAAAGATCAGACAAGCGAGTGCTTAGTTGAGGGTGGGTGAATGTTGATGTGATCGGAAATTGATCTGAACGATATTTAAAATGGGTAGATGGGTGTCAATACTCTGTGGAAATAGTTGCGACGATGTAGCGAATGTTTGTAAAAGTTTGAGACGTACATATACCATGCATGAAAGATTTGTAGAAATAGAAGAAATGAATAACAAAAGAGATGATCCAATTGAGAATAGTGTTATCAATGGCCACCACCATTACACTTGTCTTTGAAGCAAGGATGACGTCAAAATCATTCACTGTCAATATCAAAATTTTCCTCGCTCTAGACTATCAGAACTGATGTTCCGCGCTGGTTGCTAGCGGTATTCCGCATGAACCGGAGAATTGGTGAACTTCAATTATTGGGGCCGTGATCGAAGCTGTTGCAGATACTGAATGTGATATCGTTATGGGGCCATGATCTCGAAGGAAAGACTTGAAAGGAAAGATTGGTTACTAGGTACCCAGAGTCCTTCTTTCTGACCGACTTCAATTTCTTCGTGCTTAAAAGTGGCAGAAACTTGGTAGCTCATCGTCGTTGGAAGACTTTGTCGCACAACTTGCGAATAGCTTCAATAATCAAATGACATCCCACACGAGAATCCCACCACCACAAATTCTTCTTCACAACCCAGCCCAAGGCCAAATCTGCAATGAAAAAAAAAAGATTCAAAAACTGGTCAGACGTCCATCAACACCCACCCCAATCCAGACTCCCAAGAGAACCAAAAGAGGGTCGAGATCATCACCACTTTCTATACAATCAAGCCACTGTCTCCAGCCACTCAAACGCCATCCTTGCGGAAAGAACGAAAGCAAAAACGGTTTCACTCTAGGGTATCGAGGATCGACTCATCGTCCCAGTTGGAGTCTGTGGCTCTTGTAGAGAACACAGAAGAAGGACGTTTACTAAAGAAATGATTCTTTGAAGTATTGTCGATACTTTTTTTCCCTGAGGGTCTGGGGACGAAGGGATTTTATAGAAAATGAAAGTGGTCTGTGCGTGGGAGAAGCGAGTGCAAATGCTGCAAACATGGATGGATTGGGACTAGGGTGGAAAAATCTGTAGGAGAGTGGGGCGGGAGATGTGTTTGGACTCTGGAGATGTTTTTGGGATGAATTTTTTGGAGGGGGACGGATTAGCCTTGCTGCGAGGCTGGACTTGGGATGTGCGGCTGTGTGCACATGGCTGTGTGGCTGTGTGGCTGTATGGCTGTCAGTATGGCTTGATTGGTAGATTTATTATTACCTACCTAGGTATGTATCCTACCTCCCTACCTAACCTTGGAAGTTGTCTGTTATATCCCTGCTACTTGGTGAATGGTCTGTTCTGCTTTGAGTGACTTCAGTCCTTCTTCATTCCTCACTCTCATGACTTCGAAATGCTCAACCAACCTGTTTGAATTGAATTGTGAAGTGATCGCTTGGGAAATGGCAACCAGACATTGCGAGGCTGTCAGCATTATTTCCAGTTCTGGCAATCTTGGACACTTTCCCTCGTATTGCTTTCGTTACCTACTCAGTATATATTCGTATGCTCCGAATCTTAACAGAAGAATACGCTCAAACTAAATGTTCAGGATTATTCGCAAATGGCATCAGTACTAGGTAGGATAGGTAAGCTTGAGTTGCGAAATGTTATTCGAGTATCGTTGCAAGTTGCTCTCTGGCTCAGAATTGTGAACTTTGAAGTCAAAGATGTTGTCATTGATTCTATATACCTCTCACAATCTTTGGATTTGAAGCTTACTACTTGGCTCAATGTACTTGTGGCTTGAGTATTGATCAACATATCATATTCCTTCAAACCTGGAATTGAATTGATCTTCAATGAAGAAATACTTGTCCTCTTGCTTAGCCCTACTCTAGTGAGTTGGCTAACCTGACTCATCGACTATAAAAGACTTCCAACTTTCAACTTTCAACTCCAACTCTCAAGTTCTAAGGTTTACTTCAAAAAATACTTCTCCTACATATTGATACTTTTACAAGTATCAATATCTTCTTTCTCAATCCACCTTCGATCGCTAGTGTTACCCACGAAGAGTGATCACGCTACTTGAGTTCCTGAAAGGCCATCTAACAACGGTCGATGATTCATACATTCATTGTCCTCCTATCGTGGTTCATTTCAGCAGTCGCAACTGCAACTTTCATCCAATATCTTACTACTTTTTTCAAAACTCTATATACCACATTTTCATGCAACATGGCACCGAAACGGAGGTCTAAGATTCTCAAACTTCTTCCTTCAAGGGTCAGGAAAATACTTCCTTCTGGAGCTGCTTCAAAAAATTCAGATGATAAATCGTCTGTTGCCAATCCATTTCCATTTCTACAACTTCCTGCAGAAGTGCGGATTCAGATATATGAGCAACTTAGTCCAATTTCGAAACCTAAGTCCAAAGAATTCTTAGTGATCACACGGGGTCATTCAAGAAGAGATCCCGAGCTTGTAACATGTACTACAAAAGGGTGTTCAGAGGAAGATGATAGTCGTTGCTACCCAGAAATACTATGTTTGAATCGGCAGATTTATCATGAAGCCATGCCACTGTGGTATGGGGTCGATAAATTACATTTCTGGATAATAAGCCCAGCAAGCCCAGCAAGCCGATTCCACAAAAAAAAAAATCTACCGCGCCATTTACCTGACTTCCTGAGATTTATGACGTCGCTTCGCATCGACATTTTTACTGAGGATGATGATACATCATTGGCGTTAAAATCACGGAGACCAAAGATGTCTAAATTTTTAATAGAATTTGGAGACCGTTTGGCTGAACATGGCAATCTCAAAGAACTTCACATTCGCTTCTCATTGCGAACACCAATACCACTTCCACCCTCCGCAGCTCCTTCACATGTTCTACGCAGTCTTTTGGAACCTTACTTGGTACCTTTTCGAGGAATATCAGGACCATTGAACCTGACGACATCAATCGACGTACGAGAAGCGCATGAAAGTAATCAAATCAACCATGAGGGAAGGATTTATGCATCGGTGGAGGAAGATGCACGTGCGTATCTGGACACTTTCGAGTCTGAAATGCGTCAAACCACGAAGTTGATACATTGACATGCTACAACCATCACCCGCATCTCCGCTTCCGCAAAATCATTGTAGAATTAAGTCTTACGTGTTTTGATACGAATACACCGTCCCTGAATACGAGATATCATCAATCAGTATTTGACCCCTTTCGGAAACTTGGAGAGATGGTAAATCGATCTACTCAGCAGTACTACATCTCAATATGATATTGATTGCATAGTATTTCCCGATCGCAAAACTTGTCCATCACAATGTATTCTCCATCTATGCGACGAAGGAATTTTTGGCACAATGTCGGTGTAATATTCTTTGTACAAAATCAGAAGCTCAAGTCAGATGTCTAGTAAATACATTTATATAGATTTTTATTATATTAATAGAGATATTAATTAATAAATCAAAAAAGTGATTTTCGATATAAAAAAGTGATCTAAAACAGGGGTGGTCAGAAAGTAGGGTATCCAACTTAGTTATGAATATGAATAATTTACACGCCGCCTTCAACAAGCGAGCAAGAGGCACATTAGAATCGAGTCGAGTCATGACATGTGATTATATAATTATGTAGGGAAATATTAGATGTATGGTGACTTTTAATGTGATAGTGGGATATTGATATCATTGAACATATATAGGAGCTTTTCAGTGATGACCTTACGCATTTTGTGTGGAAAGTTGAGGATTTGCTCGCTTTCGTACAGGAGTGCTGTGGAGGTTGGATGGGTGTAGTGGTAGGATGAGGTAGATTTTGTGGATGTGATGCTTTTAACTTTTCTGAAGAAGGCGGTGATTGTATAGTGATTGTATAGGAATGGTTTCTGGGAGATTTTGTAGAATGGGGAATTGCAAAGTTGGGTACTGGGGTAGTATTAAGATATGTGGTGTTTCGTGATCAGATGGGATATCCGAAAGTTTACGGCAGTTGTTCGATTTCTTTGGCGACGTATAGAGTGGATTGGGTAATTTGTTAAACACTAGGTAATAGGTATGAGTAGATGATAGCTATGCCGATTATTGAATTGAAAATCGGGCAATGGAAAAATCGTCAAATGTGAACTTGGCGATGAAAGTCGTATTCAACATCATTTGGACAATAAAGTTTATGTCGAGCTGAAGATGGAAAATTATTGATAGTGGTTTAATACAACCTAGAGAATCGAGAGATAACAATATCGCAGAGCTTCCGGAGACTATCAACCCAAGACAAATAAAAGCAACGTCCCAAATAACACTGCCTGAGTACTTAATCAAAGATAGAGATGAGCACCTAACCTGGGGAAAAATGCAAAAATCGCGCTTCTAACCCTCGAGATGATTTCAGATAAATAAATAGAAAGCATGATCCGTAATACCAATTTCCGATTCTGATCCGTTGTTGATCGAGTGTACAGTCGTGGAAGATGTCATGTTCAAATCAGTACTTCTCTCGTATCACTCTTCCCCGGGTCTTTTGGGTGAATCCTTGCTTAAGCCATACAAAGTACCATTTCGCAAATTTTCCTCAATCCGTTGGAAATCTGCCTCGGTAACAATTGTATACCAATCCTCGTCTAGTTCTTGAACCATGCTATAACAAATCTGAGGGGGCTCAAAAGGTGGCGATTGTAGAGTGAGCTCCATGGCCGAGTTGGGAAGTAGTCGCTCTTCCCATTGTCCAGGCATATTCATGGAGAACTTTCCGCTTTCGATGAAAGCTTCGTCAACTTGTGAGAGGCATCGGCCTGCACCATTCCTATCGCGACGTTTTCGACCAGCTTCGCATAAGAATAGAGGATCAAGATGTGAGTATTCAGGTCGAGTGAAACTGGTTATTTTCAGTGAAAGATTTTCATGCTGATCTTCGTGAATAATTTCAAAATATGTATCCCTGCAACAATTGATCATATGCCATCTTAATGCAGGATGTGCGGTGCTCTCTTTATCGCTATCCTCCCCGTCGCTATTCTCCCCGTCGCTATCCTCCCCGTCGCTATCGTCCTCATAGCCATGATCCCCATTGCCACGTATAATATATGGATGGCGAGAAAAGAGATCAATTCCTAACTCAAAGAATGGTTTCGACCATATTCGAAAGATGGCAGTGGTAATTTCCAGGCTCCAAAAGCATGCTTTCATGATCTCTCCAACTCCACTTATGTATATTCCAGTGATAGTACGCAGGATGTGCTTTTTATTTGATTTGCATGAATATGAGGGTATTAGTATTTGCTTCAAGATAAGGGCGAGCTTGTACTCGAATGGGACAACTCTATACCTGCGTGCCCCATGAAACCAAATATTGAACAAAAATTTGAGCCAATCGTTTACAAGGCTTAAAATCATGTTTTCCGCAAGATTCCGGCAATAATATGAATCGAAAGCCCCGAGTTGGAAAAACTCTTCCGCAAACCTGGCAACCAAAAAGTCGACAACTTCGGCATCTTTTTCCCTTCTGATGCTCTGTTGCACAAAAAATAGAGAAAAATTGCTTCCGATTGATTGAGCTGGTCTTTGCTGAAATATATAACGCCATACGGAAATACTTAAAGGATTGAAAAAGGCCAGATGTGAGCGCGATTCGTATAACGGCCATAGCTCGAACCCAGCTTCAAATATCGCAGCAAAAGAAGGCAATGTTGATGCCGTGAATACAGAGATACTGTGATGATATATGAGTAAGTTTTCTTGGGACTTGATAGAAGAATAGCCTACATGCCATAATCATCCTCCCAGTATAAATCTGCTCCAAGATCAATAAGCATTGTGCAAAGCTGCGAGTTGTCGTTCGAGAAGGCTATCTGTAAAACAATAAGCAATGCAAGTTTATGTATCTTTTCGTGTTGCGATACCTACATGTAAAAGAGACTCTCCGTCCTCGTCGACATCATGAACAGATGCTTCACCACGATCTAGTAACCTCCGAACAGCTTGAACATTACCATATCTACAAAGTTCAAAAATTGCTGAATCATCTGGTCGACGCCGAACAACATCAAGTGCATAACGATCAAAATTACTTGTTGCCATGAATCTGAGCCCCTTTCGACATGTCGTAAATCCCATTAAAAGTTCAACCAGGAAAGTCTTGGTGGTTGTCGAATTATCGGCATCGTCTGTCCCATCGTCATCGTTATATCGGCGAGTAGTAGAAATAGTTCGGAAATTGAGAGTTCCTAGTAAGAAATTCGTCTTATATTGATTGAAAGACTTGGAAACGCTACCAGCAGAACATTTCCATCCACCTGAGGGAAATAATTGACGATGTGTCATTTCTTGTGATGTTTGAAGTGCAATTTGGTGTGTCGAGTTTGTTGTAGCTATAGAGCTGATATTCGTGCTTAGGACATCGAGCCTACTGCTGACTTGAATCAAAGATGCTCTGTACTCAGTGGGTCAATTAAATAATCATTTTATAGGCAGAGGGTCATATTACTGTTGTCTGCTTCCCTGAAGTAGGGCCATAGTGGTCTTAACGCTTTCAAGGTTATCCCTAAACCTTTCTATCTTGCTCGCTTTCAAGACCATCTGAACTTTTCTCCATTGCCTACCGAGACTCCCATTGGCAACGGATAGCTTTCGCGACAAAACCGAGATAAACTCTGAGAGTTGATCAATATCGTCCTTTGCTAACTCCAGAGCGTCATTGACCATGCTTTCGAAATTTGTAGGTATGCTTCCAGCTTCATATTCAAGTCGAATTGTATGAAAGACGCTAGCCACAAGTCGAAGCTGTTTAGACAAGCGGCGAATGTCTGAAGGAGCATCCTGAACAGCTTCCCAGAATTCAGCTGCTTTCCTCAGGGCATCCCCAAGTTGTACCGCTAGTGTTGCAATACCAATGACGCTTGCTGTGAGACCGACAGGATCCGCCATAATGTACAATATTAAGACTTCTCTGAGAAAATGAATGATAAACAATAAATGAATTAGTATATGTTGGGAGCAAAAGAGTAAGTCGCGATAAACGTATATTTAAGTGGTGTGTTGCACTCAGCATCAAAAAGAGATAAGCCTCGCGCAACCAAACTAGCAAACCAACCATTCGAGTGAGGCACTGCTGCATGACATTGGCTTTGGCTGCAGATGTCACAATTTAACCAGTATACAAGTCGCGAATAGTTATTGTAGGTGGTTGACCCTATTATACTACAGTAATATGTATATCATGACATTCCTTTTAATTCTGCCTCGACCTCCTCGACAACAATTGCCCGAACATCTTCCCAAGAAGTACTAGGTACAACTCTGACGCGTTTCTCTTTTTCTTCTAACCCAACAAATTCTTTGGGGAGTACTGTATCAAAGCTGAAGCTCTTTTCATCCTTCAATGCAAGATCAACAGCATTTGCAAATTTGGCTGGGTGTGCTGTTGAGAGAGAAATGTGATATGCATTTGGTGAGCGGGAGACGGATCGTAATGAAGCAGCTACACCAATGGCTGAATGTGGATCCAAAACGTAGGAACCACTAGTATAGAAATCCTTGATTGTGTCGATGGTTTGCTTATCGCTGACTCTTTCGCTCTCGAAATCTCTGTTCGCAGCCTTGAGAATCTCGTCTTGGACATTGAATCCACCATTTGTTTTCAATTGTTTAAGCCAAACCTCGACTTCCTGGCCAGCCTGCTTTTTATTCCACTCATCATCCATACCAGCGGCAGAGGCATACTCGTAGGCCAGAAACCACAGCAGTCGCTCGAAATTACTGGAGACAAGAATGTCCATAGCTGGGCTAAGAGTCTCCTTGACACCATCTTCGTGTGCTTTGACTCCATCTTCAACGAGTCCACCTTCAGCTTCGACACCATGAACCGCCTTCTTCTCGTAGTGTCCCGTTTTCCAGAAGCGGTATAAAATGTCATTCTCATTCGTCGCAATCACAAGCTTTTCAGCCGGTAGACCCATGCGCTTCGCGAAATATCCAGCCAGAATGTCACCAAAATTGCCAGTAGGCACCACAAAGCGGACTTTGTTTTCGGGTTTATATCCAGACGACTTTTGAAGAGAGAAGTATGCATGGAAGTAGTATGTGGTTTGTGCCAAAATTCTTGCCCAATTGATAGAATTGACAGCTCCAAGGTTCATCGTCTCGTTGATCTGCGGATCCGCGAATAGAGCTTTGACAGTATCCTAAGAACTATTAGACATGTCAAATATATGTAGATGTATGACTCACCTGGCAATCATCAAAAGTGCCTTCAACAGCCAAGTTGTGCACGTTGGCATCCAAAACTGTCGTCATTTGAGCCTCTTGCACAGGGCTGACTCTACCCTTTGGATGCAAGATGAAGACTGAGACATCTTTCTTGCCTCGAAGACCGTAGATAGCTGCAGATCCAGTATCACCACTTGTAGCCCCAACAACTGTAAGATGGTGTCTGTCTTTTCCCTCCTTGCCTTTGTTCCGCCTGATGAGGAAGTATTCGAAGAGATTTCCAAGTAATTGTAATGCAACATCTTTGAATGCAAACGTAGGACCGTGGAATAATTCTAAAAGGTATAGATTATCCTTTTCGCTGAGAGGAACGAGAGGTGTAGTTTCCGGAGCGCGAAATGTAGAGTAACTTCGATTAATGATATCTTTCAAGTCTGCAGGTGGGATTTCGGAAGGAGAGATGTAGAGGGAAAGGATTTCGAATGCGAGGTCAGAGAATGACAAGTCCTTCCATTTTGACTCCCAGTTCTCAGGTACTGATGGAATTTGTTCAGGAATGAATAATCCTCCATCAGCAGCGAGACCTTTCAGCACGACTTCTTCGAATGATAATCCGTAGTCGCCACCTCTGGTCGACAGATATCTTTGTGAAGGGGTATGGTCAGTCATGATGCTCAGTTTAGATTGTGGTTAGATGCGAATAACTTCAATTGAAACAATGTTTTTGATCAATGCAAAGATCCGCTCCGATGTCGGGTTCTATACGGAAACCCCGCCATCTAGCGTATCCTCCGCAACCCCGCTGCCCAGCGGAATATTTTCAACATTTATGATAAATCACTTTGTTCCCGATCGACAGTCTACATCAACGTTGTATTCGACAATCCGTCATGATGGGATCAAACGGGACTGGCTTTTCTTGAAGAAGGGCCATACTTGCACATTTTGTATCACACTGGAGAACGATAAAGTATCATATCTCAAGTATGGAGACCGCGGGAAGAGGTGACTTTTCTCCTTAATCGCCCATTCGCCAGGTAAGTTGCATATTGCGTGATTGTTGGGTTTCTACAGGTGATCATATACCTACCGTTTGAAACAGAAATATCAAGAACATCCATATTGCTTGGAATTGTGATCCCAGAATCACATCATGGCACAAAACATATACGATCAAGATGACTTCTTCAAAGCATATGCTCAGCTTCCACGCTCTGTCCATGGATTGGAAAAGGCTCCTGAATTTGAAGTGTTACGTTCTTGGTTACCAAGCCTTGAGGGATCGAACTTCCTAGATCTTGGATGCGGATTTGGCTGGATGTGTAGATGGGCGCGAGAAAATGGGGCAAAATTTGTTCAGGGTACAGACGTATCTGAGAATATGTTAGCTCGAGCACGAGAGTACCCAGAAGATCCTTCTATCAGTTATCGCAAAGCCGACCTGGAGACGTTACAGATATCTCCAAATGAGTTTCATGTTGCCTACAGCTCTCTAGCTCTTCATTACATCGAGAATCTACCATCTCTTGTCGAGCAAGTTTATAAATCACTGAAGCCGGGAGGAGCTTTTATCTTTTCTGTGGAACATCCCATTTGGACTGCTCCACGGAACCCTGACTGGATTAAAGATGTGGAAGGTCGAGACGTCTGGCCACTAGATGGTTATCTGCTTGAGGGCCCTCGAACGACAGATTGGTTGGCGAAAGGGGTAGTCAAACAACACCGTTCGATTGCTACATATATCACGATCCTTCTTGGTGCTGGCTTCATATTGTCTGCAATCGATGAATGGGGACCAACACCAGAGCAGATAAAGGAATTTCCAGACTGGGCTCGGGCAAGGGATCGTCCTCCGTTTCTACTTGTAAAGGCTACAAAAACGGCCAACTAGAGTACATAAAACACCATAATATTGAGGAATGGCTTGATGCCGCCCGTGCCGGCTTCTTGAATTGCAAATCCGGGCATCGTTTTAGTACTGCTTCAGGCGAACGCGATAAAAGGGTCATCTAAGATGTATGTACCTTTCTTCGATACTCGATGTTAAATCAAAGAACCAAGGCTTCGATTAAGAGATTATTTCGGAAACTTTCGGCTCGTCGTACAATTTAATCAATCTGTATTTGAGATCACATTGCTATCATTATGTAATATCGAAACATCAATGCTTTCAATATCTGATTTCGTTTGAGTGATACCACTTTTTACGTCCCAATGAAGGCCTGCATTACAGGGGCATCAAGCTGTAAGCACAAGCCAGCTAATCCACCGATCATCAATCTCAAAATTCATCCGTTCTTAAGATGACTCCTACGACATCTTTCTGGAGGTCAATCGAGCGTCGTATGCTCCCGTGATGTTCGAATCATCTCGCGCAGATTATCATGGCTGGTTAGAGTTCAAAGAAAATGCCCTGCCCAGCAATATATTCGGCTACCTACTCGTCCAATACTTCCTCCGGCATTTCAAAAGCAAACCTTTCGATATTGCATGCTACGATGATCCCACTGAGATCGCAAAATGCGGGGCACTTGGCCAACGGAGCTTTCTGAAACAACCATTACCAATCCGAGAAGGTCCCAGACCTGAGAAGGGCAAATGGGTACACTGAGGTTAATCCTCCAGACCTCCAAACGAACTACTAACAAGCCAATATAGGTAGTGCCCCACAGGCAGATCAACCAATTCGGTGAAAATTATATGCACAAACTAATCGATCAAGCCATTATCGACCTAGCCAAAACTTATCCTGAGCACGTAATTCTGACTACATCTGCCCTCGAAAAGCACGGCGATGCTCTCTTAATCGCAGAGAAAGTCCCAACACCTCATCTCCCAGCACGGAAAACGAAACGAGAAATAGCACATGTTCATACAGAAGGAAAGAATGTGGATTATTCAATGCACGCAGTACTCTCGCCTAGGGATTGCAAAGATGTGATTGAGAAGGGCTGGGGTGAAAGAATGACCTTGGCTGGCACATTAAAGATGCCTGCGGAATATCTGATGGTATATACCCCGAGAACAGATTCAGAATTGAAGATTGTGAGAGATATCTTGGAGGCTGCGATTGGGTTTATGACTGGTGCGACGAGACCTGTCGAAGAGTAGCGAATAGGCTATTCAGCCGAGGAAGACACATCATAGATCACAGTTTACAGCCTAATCACATCTTTCTCGGGTGTATATGTCTATATCTTTGTGATGATGGAATATCTGAAACAGTCATTTCGAACAATTTTCGGACTCACTATCTTCAGCAAGAGTATCCCAAGTGGGAAATGCGATCACTTTTTCTATCCGGCCACAAGCCTAATTTAACCCACAAAAAGTTCACAGTTCAAAGACAAATATTCACAAAATTTCCTGAAAGGTATTCATTCGAATATCTAAACATTGAGTATCTGGCATAAAAAATAATAGCTATCTAGTGTGTTTTTCTAACCTAGATTCATTATCCACCCAAACCATCCGACCGTTTCCATTCCTATCCTTCCAGGCTTGCGCCATTCTTATATGTACCGTGTGTCCTGTCCCATACCATTTCATCCTATTCCCTCGTTTCATTCATTTCTCTTTATTTTATAAGGGGTATTGTTTTCATCCATCCATAAGAAACCGCAAACCAATCCACACGCATGTCGCACACAAGACCAAAAGTAAAGTACAAAAGAGAAAAGAAAATACATGTCCAGTTCGTTGACCCGAACTTTTCGTTTCCAACCATCAAACAATCAATCGCCCAAATCGCAAATTCCAAGAAAAAGAATCCGACAAAGAAAACCACCATCCATTAATGATTCAAAGGATAAGGATGATACTTCCCATCATTGGGATACATATCATCGTTCGCACTCCCCACACTCCCACCACTCAATCTTGATCCTCTCGTTCCCGCAACCCCAGCGCCAACATTAACAGGTACCTCCCCCCTAATGTAAGGTACCTCATCTCTTTCTCTCCTTCCATAAGTACTTCCCATCGTCATCCCCGGATATCCTTGTGGCGCACTCGTATATCCGCTTGGGGAGGTTCCATAACTAACACTCGCTCTTCTTGCTCGTCCCGGAACTGCATTCGCTCCCATGGAACTCAATGGTGTGAATGGGTTCTGCATTTTAGCCGCTGGCGGAGTACCCGAGTTGCGTTTTTCGCGAGAGGAGGGAAGATCTTCGTCTCTGTATCGAGAGCTGGGACTCATAGGATTAACATCTCTTTCATCATCGCGATAAAGTGGTGAAGATGGTGCATCTCTGTAGCTTGTTCTTCGCTCTCTAGACTGATGTTGTGCTCTAAGTCTTTCGTCTTCTTTCCTCCTAGCTTCCGAATCGCGTTCTTTTTCGCGGCGTGTCATGGGTGGTGTATTTCTTTCCACTGTTACTGGAATTCTTTCTCCTCTTTCCTTCTTCTCGGGTGTAATCTTAACATTGGTATCGGATCCACGGACTCGAATTCCATCACTCTCTTTTGCTTCCCGTCCATCTTTAGCTCGAGACTTCTCTTTCTTCAAATCTTCAATTATACGGAGAGACTCATCCCTTTCACGACGGAGCTCTCGTTTCTCCCGATTGCTTTCTACTAATGTGTCTTCTAGAGAGCGGTTCTTCGATTCGAGAGATTTGATGCGTTCCTTAAGTGTACTGAGTGCTTCATTGAGGGCATGAACATTCTGTCTTTGCTCTGCGCGGTCGGCGTCGGTAAAGAAAGATGCCGAGTTTACTGGCGCAGTAGCGGAATTGGAAGAAGAGGAACCGACTCCAGAATCAGAGGGGTGGCGTTGATGAGAGAATGAGGGACGGCGGGGTGTAGATGTGGTTTTAGATGTAACGGGTGGTGATGAGGGAGTTCCGCCGTGGACTGAAGATCCTTTGGTGGAAGAAGTGTAGTGCACTTTCTTGACGGGCTTGGAAGACATGCTGAGAATGCTGTGTTTGTGTACAAAGGTACGTTTATGTACCACTGTAACTATTTGTGTAACCTGAAAGGTTTGCTCCGAAGCAACTCGTACCAATCGTACGTTGTGTTTCTGACCCGACGATGTCAGATTGCGATTGCGATTGATAAATCAAATGAGAGCGAGAAAATAATTGGATAACGGGTATGGGTATTGATGCAGTAGAAAGTAATCTATTCGTCGCTGATGTGAAATGAATGGATAAATGAGACCAATTCTATTCGAGAATTATTCTTTGCAGGTAGGATGAATGTAGATGCAGATGTAGATGAGATGGGAATCGAATCAATAAATACAAGGCTGAACAAGAAACACCTCTTTTTGATTCCTCATTCCTGGCCGGAAATTTACCAGATATATACTCCTATTCTACACCAATTTCCAAGCCATCCGATACATAGCCATATCATTCCAATACCATAGCCAACCTGCCCCATGAAAATGAACACAAGAAGGATCAATAAACATATGACTCTTCTTCGAAAACCGGTGTCTATTATCTATCCTTCTTGTGCTTAGCCTAGTACCTGCCTACAAAGCATCCGGGTTTCGAAACAATCATGTACCCTTTCTGCCTTGACTCGATTCGAGCTTCCAATCACAGCCTCAGTCCTGCTGGGGTATTTGACATTTCGCACTTTTCCTTCGCGGCTCATGGCGTAACCGGGGTTTGAAAAGGGATGGTTTCCTAATGATCTCACCGAAGTGGATCCTGGTTGATCATCCCGTTGTGCATATTTCTGGCGTAAATCCAATCGCCAGATGATATTTTGTTTATTCCTTCCTCGTTTTGTCATCTTCTACGCATCTAATTACTCGGAGAAGACCCCTTTGCCATTTCCGATGTCTCGAAATGATAAATTAGAGGGATAGAGGGAGAATGAAATTACTTTTTGGGCCCCCAAACTTACTGTATTTTCAACCCGTAGCTAAAATCCAAACATCCCAATTCTATGTCCGAATCTTTCGTAAACTATCAAATGATGATGACTCAGTCTCAAACATCCCTTTCCTCAGCTATCTCCTCGTGGCTTTTCTCACGTCTAATCACGCTGATTGGTTAGCGAACGATCGAGAAAATTAAGCCCTTGTTCTCACAACCCATTTGACCCCAGGAAAGGGGCAGTGTTTGGATGTTTCTCTAGCCTTGTCTATATCGTTTTCTTCTTCCGGGATTTTGAATTCGCAAGAATCGTTCGCAATTAGTCAAAAAACGCCAGGGCAGACCGCTAATAGGTTCTTCCAGGGATGAAATTTAGGCTGTGCCTATTCCTTGACATAAGATTCCTCGATTGTTAATCAATGAGTAGATTTTTAAGCACATCTTATTGGGTACCTCGAGTACTGTATACGGATTAGGTTAGAAATGCCCAATTCGGCGAAGATCGGAATTCATTTATCTACGAAGTAGGGTTGGTGGGTGTCGAGAAAATGGGTGTCAAGGATAAGAATTAAAGTAATATTGTCCGTTGGGTCGACGTTGTACCTACAGATGCTAGTATTGTGGGTAGGACGATTGGAGTTGGAGGACAAAGTTACGAAGGCTTGAGCCTCAAAGAGTGGAAACTTTTCTTTTCTTACTTGTTGGAAAGATCGAACAACGATATGAATAAGATGATGACAAAGTCATGTACGCACAAAATATCAAAGAAGAAATTAGAAAGTGGCATGGGATTTAGACAACATGTCGGTGCGTGAGGTGGTGATGCGGGGTGGCTGCATGAAGGGGCACATTTCGATTGAACAATTCATTGTTTTTTGTTTGTACATGCAAAAGCCCTCCCTCCAATACTGTCGAGATTACTCACACGGTATATCTTTAATTATTCCTCTCGCTCGACCGATCTTTGTATTCCCAATTCCTCATTTCCAACAATTAACCCACCATCCGTCCATAGCACGGGACTCTACATAAAAACACGTACAGTTTTTATGACTCTTTCCCCCTCCTTTTCCCCTTTCGCACCCCCGTCCTGCCTATTCTTCACGTGTCAAAAGTCTCAATTGTCTTTTCGAATTTCACGAATCGAGAGGCTATGGCAATGTAACCTACGCTAAGAGACCTAGACAGGAAACTAGTAAACTGCCGAGACGCGAGTTTGACGTCAAATATGCATCGATTAATGACAGTGTGATAAGTAAAATGCATTTCTTATCGTTTATCGTTTGTGAAAATTAGATGGAGGAATAATGACATGCTTTGAAGCCATTGCTTGTACTCGGTGTATGGTTCATTGTAATTCCTGGATGGACGCTGGAAATCGGCGACTGGAATGTCGACGTGTGAATCAGAACGAGTTTCTGCGAAAACCAGGGATTAACCCCACGATATCTATTCTTTTCTTTTTGTGTGTATCTCTCCAAAATTCTTTTCCTGTACATCCATAATCCATATCAAACTATTACATTACACAACCAGCGACTTCAAGCAAGATCCCAAATTAACCCGTCTGTCCATGCCGTCAATGTGTAGAAGTCCGAGGGCAGAACCGTGTAACCCCTCTTGACCCCTCACCTGAACTTTAACGATCATCCTTTTTTTTCGCTTTCCTTTCGAGGCGACTCTTGTGGGTGGGGCAACGGATACTCACATATCTTATACCATGAAATGGGTTGAGAGTACATTTGCATATGCCAATTAGCGAGAAGGGAAGTCATCAATCTCTGCATTCAATTGCACACACATAAAGCCCCGTGTATAGGATACAAAGCCAAAGGAAAAGCACCAATGAATAAGCGCCGATATCATTCAAAAACGTTCAACAATCTTTCCATCTCCATCATTCAAGGGATTAAAAACTAACAGAAGTAGACTAATATCTGGCGACCAAGAATTAGACCAGTGTAAAAGAGCAAGTGCAAGTGCAAGAAATTAAACCCAATACATTCATTCTGAAGAAGAATAAAAAACAAGCAGACTAAATCTAAGCAGCTACAAGGTGTCAAAATATTAAAGCATTCAACAGCATCGTGAATAAATCCTCCTCTCTTTTCTTGAGTTTTTTCTAAGGATCGTTAGTCTGCGAGTGTTGGTGTATAGGTGCGGCGTATAGTACGTACATATTGTTCGCCACACAAGAACGATCTGTGGCCCTCTTTGGTACTGTCATTCCCAAGGCTTGGTATAAATTGACGCCGAAAAAATCATGGACATCCGCCTCTTTGTCGTTGTCGGTGAAACGCAAAAGATCGACGTGCTCTTGGATGTTGAATCTGAATCCGTAAATTGTGAAATAGACATCGCATCTAGAATGCAATATAGCAACTAGCACCACCCTTCAAACCCCCTCAACACGAAATCCTTTGCTCACAATCCATCTTTTCAACTGTCCCAACTTATTATCCTTCTCCGCCAACCACCGATTCCTCTCACTAAGCTTATCATCCATAACTTTGATCAGCGCGGTCAACCTCTCGATCTCGGCAACTTTATCCTCAAGTCTTTCTTTTAATCCCCCTTCACTCAGAATTCCTCTCCCAGTCAACCCCCTTCTCATCAATCTGACTCTCTCCTCCGCTCTCTCACCCCTATACTCAGCTCTTTCTCTCTTCCCCTCCAATTTTGCAACCCTTTCTTCTAGATATTCGATATCCCCACTCTTCTCTTCACTCTCTCTTCTCAGAACTTCTTTATCTCCCTTAAGTACCTGCACGATATCTCGTAAAGCACTATTATCAGAGATCAATTGCCAGTTCCTGCTCTCTGCAACTGCTAGTTCTGTTTTGAGTGATTCGGCAACAGCTTGTAGTTCTGCATTGCGGTCTTCAAGGTCGCTTGCCATTTCATGAACCATGGTGCGGGATTGAGAAGTGGAGCGACGATGAGAATTTGAATTTGAGCGGAAAATGATGCGTTCGTGGCCGTGACGATCGCGTTCGAAGAATCCACGAGAGCGAGGACGATCGTAGGACATTTGTGTTGTAAATTTGGATTTTGTGAATTGGGGATTTTGGGATCAAGTAGTAGACGAAGAAGGATTTTTGATGGGTAAGTGGATTGGTGAAAGATGAGATTTGAGATTGACTATATTTGACAACAACTTGATCTAGATGTGCTTAATGGGTCCTTTCTCAAAGATATGGATAAAATTGATTGGAATGGCTGAATATGCAAGTAAGTATGACCTGCAGCTTCAGAAGCGCGTATGTATGTATGTGTAGAAACAGTATTGGATGATGCACTTCTCGGATTGTTCAATAAGAAGGGAGAGGTTTACAATATATGTATAGCTGCCTACATAAAGGGAACTCACGCGTGTAGTAGATCAGGCATAGGCAAATTGCAAAATTTCTCTAGCAAATCTCAAGAATATCGAATTTCCGCACAGCCTTGTGAAACATCATGTGGCAAGACGATAATATTTTTGTCATAATCTAGATCCGAATAGAAACTCCATAACAAGATTAACAAGGCTATGAAAACACGACAGAGGATTTCGGAATATTGTAGAAGAAATTCGCGGCTTCGGCGTCAATTCTTTCCATGGATTGTGAAGGCCGAGATAGAGAAACGCCTCGTTTGGATTACTTCATTTCGCATCTCATCCGATCTGATTCATGCTTGACAAAGCGATTTATCCGTCCGTGTGTCATATGTAAGTCCATTTGAACAGAAGCTTCTCGCCACATCTTCATTGAAACGTCTAAAATTGGGGACAAGGGACATGGTGAAGAAAAAAGTCTCACTTGCCTTGTAATGCCTATTCTCTTGTCACTTGCTCCACTCCCCCTCCATGCCAAAAAATCATGCATAACCAAAAATCGGCTCCCCCCATACAGAAACACAACTCCTGTCGTACGAAGGTCCCCAAAAGTACGAGCCACTCAGCTGTCCAAGGATAAATGGTTCGCTCAGAGGATTTTACCCCTCCTGTAAACTTGCGGGAACTAAAGCTTTACCGTATCCAATAACGCATTTTCAATGACTTTGACTCAAAACGAAAAGTGTCAGAGCATAACCTGCTGTGTGACCAACTTTCGAGCCTCTCAATCACTACAATGTGGAGTGGCTGTGCGGCCCCCAAATATAAGGCTGAGGCGTAATCATTCTCGAAAAGACCCGATATCATTTGAACAATGTCTTGCAAAACAATTTCCCAGGGAAGCTTGGCTTCTCAAAGTACAAAACGCTGATGTCAGATTTCCCATTGCATCATTCCACATTCGGAACTTTCCAAACTAGCCACTTCACAAGATAAATCCTAAATCTTTCAGCCACATATTGGTCTGTCGTCACGATGCAATCGTAACGTTATTGGAGAAGAATTTAATGGTTTGATGGCTTGAGGAAATGGCTGGAAATGCGGCGAAGTCATCCAGACCCTGCCGCTCATGATGAACTCAGTGGTCAGAACCAAAGAAACACACGAACAAGACATGGAAAACGTGGTATGATGGAGGGGGAAATCTCTGCAAGGCAGAATCTGTGAAGGCCGGATGAATGTGACACTCGGATATGATGATGAATAGAATTACAATATTTCGAAATATGTGATGGCGTTTCCTATGCTAGAGAAGAGCTTTCGTTCGGCGTTGAGTAAGCGCGAGAACCATTCTTTGCTGGGAACTTGTTATATTGGGCAACCGATTCAATCAAACACGCGGATCAAAAGGTTGCCGAATGAAGAATATCTTGATATACTCGTTCTGGAAGCATGGGAGGTGGATGGATGAATGAGGCTGTACTCTTTTCTCAGCGCGTCGGACACGAGTGGAAAACCTGGAGATCATGGCACAAGTCGCACGTGATTGAATAATAATTATGCACAAGCAAGGCACATGCAACGATTGCATAAAT